TTACTACAAGCTTAGAAATTTTTATTTATTTAAGGAGGCTCCATGTTCAGGATGGAGCCCAATGTGGGGCTTGAACTCACAACCCTGAGATCAAGACCTGAGCTGAGATCAGGAGTTGGACACACTCAACTGACTGAGCCACCCAAGTGCCCCTAGAAATAAATTTTAAATAGCATGGGTTAAAGAAGAACTCATGATGGAAATTATGAAATATTTTCAACTACATACTAATAAAGATATAATGTATCAAAACTTGTGGAATGCAGTTAAGCTGTGGGTAAAGGGAAATTTATAGCCTTAAATGCATCTATTAAAAAGAAGAAAGGCTAAAAATCAACTAGTTAAGCATTCATCTCAAGTAACGACCAAAGGAACAGCAAACTAAACCCGAATAAGGGAGAAGGAAGGAATAGTAGTAGCAGATTATTGAACCAGAAACAATGAAATGGAGGGGATTGAGAAAGTCAAAGTAGTTTTTAAAAAACTAATAGATAAATCATTGGCAAAAAAGGGTACAAATAGACATTTATAAAAAGAGACTCTACTTATTCTACAAATATTAAAAAGATCTTAGGATATATGAAAACTTATAAGTATGAAAATTTAGATGAATGAATTTTTTAAAAATAGAACCTATCAAAATGGACATAATACAAAATAGAAAATTTGATTAGTATCGATAACTAATAAATTTCTCATAGAGAAAATTATGGCTTCAGTGAAGAATTTTACCTAATGTTTAAGGAGGAAATAAAGCCAATATTAAATTTCTTTTTTAGAGAATAAAGGAGAGGAATAATTTTCAGCTTGTTTTATGAGACTAGCATAACGCTGATTTTACAGTCTGACAACATAATGCAGGTAAACTGTAGACTAATTTTCTTCATAAACAGAGATGTAAAAATCCTAAACAAAATATTAGCACATTGACTACAGAACTGCAGGAAAAGACTAATACGTGATGACTAAATTAGGTTTATTCCAAGGATACAGGGTGGTTTTAGCATCTGAAAAATCAATCCATGTACTTAACCATATCAATAACATAGCGGAAAAGCCAGGATTATTTCAATAGCTGCAGTGAAAGCATTTAATATTCGCTATACATTCATGATTTTTTAAAAAAGATTTTATATATTTGACAGAGAGAGAGACAGCGAGAGAGAGAACACAAGCAGGGGGAGCAGGAGAGGGAGAAGCAGGCTTCCTGCTGAGCAGGGAGCCCGACGTGGGGCTCGATCCCGGGACCCCGGGATCATGACCTGAGCCGAAGGCAGACACTTAACGACTGAGCCACCCAGGCACCCCTGTCTTTCGTGATTTTTTTTTTCTTTTTAAAGATTTTATTTATTTGACAGAGAGAGATAGCGAGAGCAGGAACAGAAGCAGGGGGAGTGGGAGAGGGAGAAGCAGGCTTCCTGCCGAGCAGGGAGCCTGATGTGGGGCTCGATCCCAGGACCCCGGGATCATGACCTGAGCCGAAGGCAGACACTTAACGACTGAGCCACCCAGGCGCCCCTGTCTTTCGTGATTTTTTTTTTCTTTTTAAAGATTTTATTTATTTGACAGAGAGAGATAGCGAGAGCAGGAACAGAAGCAGGGGGAGGGGGAGAGGGAGAAGCAGGCTTCCTGCCAAGCAGGGAGCCCGATGTGGGGCTCGATCCCAGGAC